GTGTGGAGTGGTGCTTCTGCTCCATTGCTTTCTGAATGAACGTACGACGCTTATTTTATTATTTCGACCAGGGTTCGAGGGTGGGTAGGAAGGGTCTACAAACTCTTGGGCTGGTCTGAACGGTTTCCTGGAGTCTATTGCGATCTACTTCTGGAATTGCAGTCGATAGTCTCTTAACCATTTTCGCCTCTTGTGGACGATGATTGTCCTCGTGCTCCGTCTCTTGTTGTCCATCCGGATTCTGCTTTGTTCATCCTATTTCGGATACCCAACCCCCATCTTTCTGTCCTAACAATTCCTCACAAAATTTGGAGATAAATTGGTCAATGTCACCTCTAGGATGAATTTGGTCCATATGTTTTTTGTTTTTTGATGTAGTTGTCGTGATTAAGTTATTTTTTTCTTGTGTTCGTTGTTGTTGTTGCTGATTGTGCTGGTGGAGGTGTTATTGGTAGTGGTTGTAGTGTTTCTTGTGGAGGTGTGAGATATACTGTATGCGATGTTATGTTTCCTATTACTAGTGTCGGTGTTAGATTGTTATATTTTGTGTTGAATGTTGGTATTTCTTTGTTAAAAAGGTCACTGTTATTGTTACTTGTTTCTGTCCTTTTTAATATAAGGAGGTTGTAATTGGTGGTGGTTGATGATTTTCTTTAACGAGCCAGACTTTTCCTTTTCGAAGGTATTTGAATATCATTTTTCTTGCATTGCCAATGTTTTTGGCTAATGCATCTACTATGTTGTCAAGTGTTGATGTATTCAATAAATCTTTGTCTGCTAAATAGATATCTAAAAAAAAAACCTCGTGTTGTTATCCGATTTTTTGTGTACACAACAATGCTTTATCCGATTTATTGTGTACAGAACAATGCCTTAATATCCAATAGATAGATCTGTCTTTGATATTGTCGCTCGTATCTTTGTCATCCAATCTTTGCAACTGTCAACTGTTGTGAGGATTGTTTGTGAAATATCTCTAACTTATTGTATGTCTTTGTCGATTTGATCTTCTTGTGTACATAACAATGCCTTATCTGATTTTTTGTGTACACAACAATGCCTTATTGTCCAATAGATAGATATGTCTTTGATCTTGTCGCTTGTATCTTTGTCATCCAATCTTTGCAACTGTCAACTGTTGTGAGGATTGTTTGTGAAATATCTCTAACTTGTTGTATGTCTTTGTCGATTTGATCGCGTTTCCTCTTAAGTGTTTCAATATCAGACTCGTAAAAAAAAAAAATACAAGTGATGAATATGAGTATGAAATTATAAAAATGATATTTAGATTTGTTGTGAGTATGAAATTATAAAAATGATATTTAGATTTGCTGTTTTTGTATGAAATTATTATTTCTTTAATTTTTTTAAGATATATTTTTGAAGTTTTTGTAGTTTTAGTTCTCTTTGTATTATGATTGTTATAGCTTGTTTAAAAAATATTTTTTTTTAATAGAAATAGGGACAAATACTTACAACGTATTATTATTCTTAAGTTGGTCCTTTTTCGTTTCCGTAAATCTTTGTCCATTTTCCATAATGCTGTAAAAATAAGATAGACAAGAGACAAAAATATATATATCAGCCTTATTTGTTTTTTTTTAAGAAAGAAGTATAATAAAATTTGTTGTTTTGCAATTAGACTTGATTTCAATTTTCTCATTCAACCTCTCTCTCTCTCTTTCTTTCTCTCTCTCTGTTTCTCTCACTCTTTAGTAGTTTCTCACCCCTCTCTCTCTTTATCTCTCCCTTCCTTTCTCTCTCTTTCTCCGTTTTTTTCTCTCTCGTGTTTGTTGGAACTATTTTTGAAGGTATCATAAAGCATAGAGACAGTTTTTTCATTGGTGGTTAGAAAGCTTACCGAAGTAAAAATTTATAGCTAGTTTTTTGTATGTAGCCGAATGGAAAGTTGCAAGAGCTTTTAAAAAGAAAGTTATATTTTTATTATTTGTTTTTTGTTTTTATTTTTATTTTTGAATGATTTTTTTTAAATAGTTGGTAGTAAAATATTTTATGGTATTTTAAGTGCATTTTAGAAATTTTATTATATTTCTTATATCAATAAATAATTTGCATATATATTTTTGTGGTGTATATTGTTTATGTGGGTGTGGATGTTGGTTTGTTTGTAGTTCGTTATGTAAGAAAGAATTGTAATATAATGTATCTTTGTAGAAAAGTCAGTAATATATTCTTGTGGATTTATAAGTAACAAATGTCGTATCATTAGGAATCTAAATAATCCATAATCAAATTGATTGTATTAATCTGGTCCGTTAATATAGAGTGATTGTGCGTTGGTTATATATATTTGTTTGAGTAAAAACATATTTTTTTATTTTTTTAAAAGTTTCTTTATTTGTTTTTTTCTCCTATCGTAATAGGCTATGAGATGTTGTAGTGAAGTAATGTATCCCAATGTCCAATGATTGCCATTGATATGACATGGGAAAAAAATATGATTGAAGGTGGATAAAAGTTTATTGTTCATTTTTTTTGCAAGACACTATTGTGTTTTTGTGAAGTCGCTTGATTGTATGCAGTATGTGTAAAGAAAAACATCAGTTCTTAGCACTAATTTGTAGTTTTGTATTATTACGTTCATGTATTTATATATATTATCGCTATCTAACCATGCAGTTGTGTGAAGTAAGTAGTTTTTACAAATTATTATTTTTTAATTTTTTTCATCGTTGATAATATATATATATTTTTTTAATGTTGTGCATTTCGTTTATTATATATATTTTTTTATTTTTTTTCGTAGTATTTTGTATTTCAAGTTTTTTTTTTCTTTATTACTTATGTTTTTTATTGGAATATAGTATTGTAGTTATTCTTATTTGTTGAGTCTGAAGTATACGTTCGATGTTTTTCAAATGTTTCATCAAATATTTGAATATATATTTTTTTGCAAATTATTTGTTAGCGAGTTCATATAATCATTTATCTTCTTCTATGATTGATATATCAAATTTATAAAACGACGATAAATTATTGGTGAATGATTTTAATATTGTTAATGCTTGTATGTTAATTACTTCAGAAATTAAAATATATGTTTGTTGTGGTACATTATGTTTGTTAGTTTTTGTAGTGAATTTTGAAAACCAATCGGCAATTACTAAGGTTGTTTATTTTTCTTCTTGTACTTTATATCATGTTGTGGCAACTTCATATACGAATGAGAATTGTAATAGACGTGAGGTACATGTTCTACATTGGTTTGATATTAAAATTGGATAAATATTATAAAACAAATTAGTATCATGAATAAAAGTTAATCGAATAGTTGTTCTTGAGAGAGTTAAACAAATGTTATATCGTGTTGCTGGTTTCGTACTATAAGTGTTGTATTTGATCCAATATCATTGACATGAGTATTTTAGTTGATTTATTGAATTGTATCGAGTGTAAATATGCAAAAGTTTCATTTGTTATGCCTTTTTTTGAATCGATATTTTGTGAAAACATTATTGGCATGCCTGGTATTAAATCGATATATGGTGGATATCGATTTAATTTGTTATCTGGAAGTGATATTATCTGGTTTGTATCGTCGTTGGTTTGAATATTTCTCATATATATAGAATATTTCTCTTAAAATTCTTATTTGATTGACTTTATTTAAACATTTATACATTCTCAAATTTAGATTCAGGATTTTGAGAATAAATTGATAATCCAATTAATATGTTCAATTAATTAAAAAACTTTATCTTTTAAAATTCTTATAGGGTAATGATTTTTTGGAAGGTTTTGATTTACGTATTTTGTGTATGTACGAATGAGTGATGTACTTGTTTCGTTATCTAGAGTGACATATGTTGGAGGAGTTTATTATTTTATTAGTATATATATATTTGCCTTATAAATTATTATGTATCTTTTTTTGTTTAACGAGTTTTTGTAACCCTATCTTTGTTTGAAGTTGGGTAGCACTGCGTACGCGTACTTACTCCCACGTACGAGTACATGCTCAAAAATGTGCGTACGCATACATGTTTTATATATAATATAATAATAATCAGAGTTTCCAGGCCGAACGTACGGAGGCCCCTAAGCTGACCCCCGAACGTTCGGGCGTTCGGGTCCCCGTACGGGGCCCGAACTCGAAGGGGTTCGGACCCTGCAAAAAAATATTTTGGTACCTAAAAATTATTATCTTTTTCTCATTTTTGTTTTGTGAGTTCTCTGTTATGTAAGTTACCTGTCTCTCAATTTTGAATCCATTCTGTTTAAGCCAAACAATAATGCAAAATCGGCAAAGATGGTGGTGTCAAAACTTGCTTTCCCACTTACTAATTTGTGTTTTTTCTTTTCTCACTTTTTGTTTTCCCTTTATTTCGTGGCCTGAAAAAAATTATTATTTTTTTAAACTTTATTTGTAGGTTCTCTATTATGTAAGATACATGTGTATAAAATTTCATGGCATTTGACAAAGCCAAAAAAAAATGAAAAATCGCCAAAGATGGCGGTGTCAAAAACTTGCTCGCCCACGCAATAATTTCATTCTCGTTTTTTTTTTTTTTTTTCATTAATATTATTTATTTTTTGTATTTGATTTTTATTTCAAATTTGGTAAGGAAT